GTATGCTATGTCATGATCGAGTGCTGACTACCTGTAATGGTACGTGGAAGTAAGCTGTTATCAATGCGTTCTCGTATTAAGTGAAAAAAACCGCTGGGTAACACTACATAATCACAAAGGCAGCAGGAAGTATGACTTAGTTAAGTGGAGCCCAAGCGTTCGCTCAGTCAAAAGGTGTCAGTCACTGCGGCACATCCGTCAACTTTACAAGAGTAAGTGACAAATTCGCTTGGGACTAGAGCAACTCGTAGAACTAACGCGTCAAATGAAAAACAAAGGCGAAATCGAACTACGATAATTTTTAATTAGATATCAAGATGCAATAGGGATATACAGCAACAATACCCGCTCAGTACCGAGTTATTACACAATGAGGGTCCGAAAAACCGTACTTGCGACTGTATAGCCAGATCACGAGAACGAGGGTCCGCGAGCGGAATCCCACAAGTTCTACTATTGACCAGTTCGTTGCGCATTGCATAAAAGGCTACAGTGCATTAGGTGTAAGGGTAACAACAGGAGAGCACTGTTACGGGCAACTGTGTGCAAAGACGCGAATGAACAGACGACGGGCTATCAGACACTGTTGCACACCAGTCGATCGTAGTAGTACCTTTTCAAGGGTTCAATGCATGATAAAACTTACCGGTTGGTTGTTGCCGAGAAACCGTGTAGACAATGCGATTCGCAGCGCTTCAGGATTTATTATCCATTATCTCAGCAATTCGTGCAATTATTTATATCTTACCTATTATCAGAGTCCTGATGTACAAGAATTAAAAAAGTGGTTACCTAAACTTGCTCCAAGGAAATACAAGTTGCTTGGCATAGTGATAACATATTCGGAACCATGAACAATATGGGCGGCACGGATAACTGGCCTACAGTACTTATGTGGCATAATCGCCTTGGAGAAATACGTCCTAAAATTACCTGCCAGCATACAAAGACAGATTGCGCCTAAGATGGGACTAAGGCTGGCACGTATAGCAACACCCACACATATCAACTCCAGTGCAATATGAAAATAATAAGAGTAGGATACTGTGAGTAGTGCTCTTGATTACTGTCGAGTTAAGTAGAAACCCATTCATGCATTTACGATACAAAAATAAATGGCGCCGCGTGGCAGCGCGCATTATACGACAGAAATGTAGGACCAGAAGCAACGTGCAACACGAGAGGATAGGTGTAATTTTGAGAAACTGATTCGCGCGCGACTAGGACTCGCTTCACAATCAGTGAGTTAAAGTGTGATGGTATATATGTATGTAATGGTATATATCCATAACACTTTAACTCAATGGTTGAGTACAGAGCGCCGTTCACAAGCGGTGGTGATTTGGTCTCAGTGCGGCCCATGATGAATAAATATTCTGGAGCCCATCTTGGTCACAAAGACTGATTACTAATCTCTTGGAATGACCAGTCAATTTAATTGCATCGATGTTGGAGGCAGCTTATCGACACTCTTAACGCGCACAACTAGCACTAGTGCACCGCATGAGTATGTGTCTCAAACGTTCCCCAATAAGACGATGCAACACAATATAAATGACGGGCCTCAACAAACGTTGTGGAAACAAGTAAGATGTCAGCTAGAGTCTAAACAAGTTTCATAAAATGCGCAAACTAACACTACCACCACGCCCAGTATATTCCAGGTCCACTCAAGATTGCGATCCATCGTAACGATTTCATTCAGCTACTCTGAATTAGGTTTATCAGTCTTCCAGTCCAATGCTCACTTCTTTAATCAAGTTATTGGTCAGTTGTCTCATCCAAAATTGAGCATAACAAGGACCAGTAATCAAACATAAGGAACTGTGGAAAAAGCATTATACGGTGTGACGGGATAACTACACTGCACCAATAGTAAGTAGCGTGTGAAAGCTTGCACGAACGAGCCAGCCAACGGCGTACCACAAAGCGTACGCCCTGTAATCACACAGGGGTGTGAAACAAGGATAACAGCGGAAGCAGCTCATGAAGTTGTGAGGAAGGAGAAAACACACACAAGATACAAAAAGGGCAGGCCCGGTAACATTTGGCAACACCCATGAGCCATCATCATCATCATACTACACGTTAGCTAACGGTGGGGAACACCTCAGCTACTGTGCCGCAATAAAAAGAAAAAAAAGAGAGAAAAAGAAAACGACTGGTGAAAGCTGGCTAAGCTACCGGTAACGGATGGGCATCGTTCCGGTAAGCTACCAGCCGGCTGCTGTGCACCAAAAAATTACTATGCAAAATTATATAAGCCTAAATAATGAGATCGTGGTTGGAGGAGGAGGCTAAAAGGGATGGGGTGGGACAAAGAAACAGCACGAACGCCACTGAGGTCCGCTCCTAGCCATATCAGCAACTGTGTCCAACCAAACGTGTTCATCGTCTTTCGGACCCCAACCAGAGAGCCGAGACGCTCCAACCGAGGCCAGCTCAGAAGTGAGGGCCTTCATTCCTCTCGACCAAGTCATCGCTTGGCCACACCTCTTCTTCCATCCAAACCCCCGGCGCGCAAACAACGCACGTCGCGGGAGTCGGTGGGCTGACATGTGTAACAGGTGGACCAGCCATCGGAGCCTGGTGCGTGAAATAACGGTGTCGCATGAAGTAACAGCCAGGATATCTTGAGGATATTCGTGGTAATAACGTGAAACGTGCGCCTCGTGGCTCAGGAAAAATGCGAATTACTTCGACCAGGCGAGATCCCGAAATCTGTGATCAAACTTCGCAGTCGGATGCCCCCTGAACAAGGCAGCCTGTAGGATCTAGTAGCATCATCTGTCGGTTAGCGCAAGTACAAAACGTTGCAGCCCCGAATGGAAGAAAACTCACACAGCATTCTTTCTGATATTAGTCATCGTTTGACCGAATCAGAGTGTAGCGGATTCTAAGTTAATTTTAACAACTTATTCTTTAACCTCCATAATATTAAGCTTGACGAAACGACGCAATCAATAATGAGCATGATTTTTAAGGAAGTTTTACTGATTCGGCCCAGTGGATAATATTACCAACTCGGGTAAACACCAGAAGGCTGTTTCGTCCTGATGGGTCACGTCAGTGGTGCGGATCCTTTGCCTCCATCAGGGAGCAAACCTAAAACCGCTAGTACTTCGCGCTACTAGCCAGCAGGCTATTTCACTGAGTCATGGGTGAAGGCGGCGGACCATTGCGAAATAGCGCGACTCATCCTCCATTGCCATATTGGCTAATAGTATTGCACATAACAATGGTTAGCCTCTAGTTCAGTTCAATTGAACAACTACGATCCGAGCATCGAAGTGCGGTGAATCCAGTTGCCACGACCCACATCGTATGAATAACACTAGACAGCAACGGTAAGATGGTGGGGTTGAATGCGGAGTGCAAAGAAGGTGAAAGTAAGAAGGAAGTGCATCAAAGTAATCAGAATGGAAGGAAAATTAACAACTAGCTAAAGAGACAGAATGCAAGAACGCCAACAACTGTGTGATCGCGCCGTTTGATGCAGTCGCCAACCATTGGTGTGGACTATCCCGCGGTCCCATCCACGAAGACGGCAAGCACCGGCCAGACTAAGTCTCTCAATCACTTTCTTCGTGCTTCTATGCCACGTCATGAACTGGACACCTCGCGGTTTCACCCAATTTGATGTAATTACCGCGTAAAAGGCAGGCTGGTGGTTTAAGGCAATAGAGGTCATGGGTCCGGATCCCTAGATGGGAGCGAGGGAACGCGCGCCACTGACAAGCCCCACGAGTATGAAAAGGCCGCATGGTGCTCCTTCGGATTAGTGGTTGGTCTATCTGGATTGCAACCAAATCGCAATGAACTGCTTACATGGAACAATGTTGATAAGATGAGCATAACGACGCTCCACGTAGCCTTCTGGTGGACAATACGGTGGATCGAGAAATCCGCACTACTACTAATCTGGACTTCTAAGAACAAGGTTGGGCTGGTGAGATCAGATCGGAACGTGAATGTTATAATGCTTGCAGTGGGGTAAAAAGGAGTTTCCCCATAAAATAATGTTCATCTGCAATAAACTATGATGGCTCGTACAGCGTATGGGGTGAGTTAAGCTGTCAATAAATCCGAATTCTGTCACACTCGCCCAGTGCTCCCATCGGATATGAGCGATGGTCAAACACAACCAACCTCCCAACACATAGTTCATTCTACACATCGAGTTAGCCAGTGCGTCGTAGCGACGCTTCGCTGCCACGTAATCATCGGCAGTCGCGCGAGGGATGGGGATAATGCGAGGGTCGCCCTGCGTCTACACAGGCTCGAACCCTCACAGTCAGAGTACAAGACAAACTCGGTACCTCCAGGCTACGGACCGGCGCAGCTTCGAACCGGTGCCTTTTGGGTTACAAGGCAGACGCCCTATCTCTGGGGTCAACGGCCGACCCAGCGCGAAGCCGTCATGTCTCTGATTCACAGATCAACACTTTATGCACCAAGGCATTGTAAACCCTTCCCTTGACCAACCTGTGTACAACCCGGCCGTCTTCACAAGTGAACTGAGCTTTAAAAGACCAGACAAGTCTCATCGGTACGTGCCGTAAGATCGGTGAGATGACCGCTAGATGGTGACGGAGCCATCCAGCGGCTGTTCAGTGATAGGGAGAACCTGCGGCGTATCGTTCCAGCTTTGTAACAGTAATTGGCGCATTGAGAGTGCGAAGCACATACTGAAGCGCACATCGCTGCACGTCGGCCTGATCAACGGTGGATACATAGTAGCTGCATCCGACTCTGTCATCCGCATACTCCAGGCTCAATAGTCAGTCACCAAGCACGACATCCACTCAAGGTGGAAGGCAGAAGAAGGCGTTACCAGTATGTGGGCACATCATAACGAAGCTTCGCCGCCACGCAACCGCGAGGTTGTCCGCACTAAAGCGGGTTCGAATCAGTGACTTTTTCGCCATCGGTCGACAGTGGAAGGCAGAGTAATTTGCCAAAAAAGAAAAAAACAACAACAATGGAGCAAAACAACGGTGGAAAATGTTCACTCGGTTCTCTTTCAGTCGCATAATGAAAAATTATCAAAATACGCACCAATTGAGCTCGATGGTCAGAAAGATAAGGAAAAAACGCGCCGAGATGAAACAATTGCGAATGAAGAATATGTACACCAAGGGTAATCTGATGTGACACAAAATAAATGGCAGCCAAATAATTGATGGATATGTGTACAGAGATTTTAAAAACGACGCTAATCGCTATCTTGTGAGGACCAATTCCACGGATATCGTAAGCAACCAAAGTTCGAAGACGAGCCGAAGCGGGGCGGACGGTAGCACTCTTCGACGACTGCTCCATTATCGGGGAGCGGAGTTGTAAAACGGAACAATTCCGAAGACTGGATAACATTATCCCAGTTGACGTAGATCACAACGGATGAGGACGAGGGTTCGTAAAGTTTCCGGGTCAAATAAGTGGGCAGCGGGATAACCGGTTCGCGAGGCTTAAAAGTTGGGATGGAAGACTGCGAGTTGGTGACAATCGTGGGTTTGTGAAACCAGATACCCAAAATGGTGCGCCTGTTCCCCGCGGAATGATAATTTGGTCGACCAATCAGGACCAGCGTTGGGGTAATAGGATCAGAAGAGTTAGTGTTGCTTCGTTTTAAGTCTGGAGAATTGCCGACACATGCCTCAGGGGTGCGCGAGAAAAGGGAGAACGCATGAACGTCCGATGGGCGGACCAAATTGTCAATCCATCCGGTGGGAAGTTGAGCAGAACACACAATACCTCGAAATCCCAAAAGCTCCGGACTTAGGTTAGTCACTAGTTCGGGTTTATGAGTGTCAACTGTCGATGGGTCGTGCGTCGTTCCTTGATCAGTAGACTGATTCCAGGTGGACCATCTGATCCACCGACGACCCTCCACATCAAGACAAAACTGCGTTGCCTGTTCATCACGGCCGCAAGTCCCGAAAGCGAATAGATACTGACGATCTATTGAGAGAGTGAAGAGAAGACAAACGTCAAAAGCTGTGAGATAACGTAGGAACGAGAAAATAAAACTGGTCAGGTTGCGTAACCTTGACCAATTAAACGTTCGGTTCGAAAAATGATAGGTTAGCGAATCACAATAGTACTTGCGTTGGCTTAAAATGCCGCACGGGAAGGATCCCTCCAAGTGGATGAGGGTAGGGGAGAGATCATAACGGGAAAAGACCACTCTGTGAAGTAGTTCATCGCAAACGCTTAGGATGGAAAGCAGTAAAACACATGAATCTGAGGCTATAAAATGACACGAAATTGGGACTTATAGATATCGAAGACATCAACAAGGATGTCTCCTTAGTCACGCAGCGCACACAGTGGGAATGGAAAGATAATTTATGGGTACAATATCAGTTGGGTTCGATTGACTCCGGCATCGAAATGCGATGGATTCAGTCGCCCCAGGGCGGGGGATAATTGGGAACTATTAGGGTAAATGGAAAAAATGGCGAAAGCAAACAGGAACAATGCTTCCGTGAAAATGGGAAGTTGTATTGCAGAGAGAAAGTAACCAACCCGTCGTAATACTGCATCGTCGACGCTTTCCAGGTAGCCCATCATTATGTCAGCGATGAGCGCTTCCATGACTTTGGAAAGCGCATGGAAGTGTTACTGGACGGCATTTGGTAGGATCAGACGGACTTCACTGAAAAAATCCGGCAAGTGGTTGGGCTATCTGGAAAGCGTCGGCGATGCAGTATTAAGATGGGTTGGTAACTTTCTCCGCGAACAGCAGTTAGGGGTTAGAGTCCGAACCTCTCTGCTTGACCATAATCGAGTGGAGTGTGACGATCTTGCGAGAGCCATCACCATAAAAATTTTACTTTTCGCGGATGACGTTAAAAGGTGGCCGGTGATCAAGCGAATGGACAACCACAAGATCCTCCATGTGCGACCTAGATGGGACATGGCATTGACCGGTGAGGAATTCACTGCCATTCAATATGGTCAAGTAACACGTAGCCCACATCCGCCATAGACACGTATAGCTCTATAAAATTGGGACTTACGACGTGCAGACAAGCCCTCAGGAATTTGACCTCGGTGTGCTGGTGCAGGACGACTTCGGTTTTTATGGACAGTCGGAATCCGTTTCAAAAGTGGTAGCCAGTACGCTGTTAGCTTGCGGATGGCATTCGAAAGTTGGACTCATTCAGCTTCTCTATGATGCTCCATGACTACGTGCGTTCCAACGGCGAATACGATCCAGGCTTGGCACGCTTGAGTAAAGCGGGATCTTGCAGAACTCGAAACTCCCCATGGTCGAGCAACAAAATGTGTCAAGAGATTATGCAACCTTTCGTAACAGCAGCGACTAAAAACACTCGGTGTGTTCAGTTTACGCTACATGTGGTTACGTGGAGACCTCATATTAGTCTACCAGATACGGAACGACCCCAATTACGCATGTTGTCACCTACTGCAACTCATCCCAAATACCAACTTCAGAGGCAATAACCTGAAACGGAGTCAACAACACAGTCGGATTTTCATTAAGGCTGGACGAACCTCAGCTCACAGCGACCCAGTGATTCCGCCTAAGTAACCATCGAACGTTTCGGTGCCTACGCTGTTTATGTGCTCAATGACAGCCTGAACGTTAAGAACTCTATCCGACCGGACGCATTATTAGCACCATTTTCCAGTAGACCAAGTTAGTCGTTAACACATTTGTGAAAGAGGATAAGTATATTAACGGAAATGTATTAGAAAGATCATCTACGCCAGTGAAGGATATGTTCAAAATGTCCGCCGGCGTTCTGCTTGCAGTGCAGAAACCGCTTGATGCAGTTGGCGAGCACTTTCTCCAATGTATCACTCGTGATCGCGCGACATCCATTCAAAATATTTTCTTTCAATTGATCTAAGGTACGCGGCCTTGTTTTGTACACTCGCCGCTTCACATAGCCCCACAGAAAAATCCATGGGGTTTAAATCTGTTGAGCGAGCTGGCCACTACATTGATCCACCACATCCGGTGCGATGGAGACCAAATTTGTTGGTGAGGTAAGCACGCACCGTTTTAGCCGAATGTGCAGGTGCACCATCCTGCTGCCACCAAATGGTACTGCATGCCTCTTCGGCCTCCTGTTGTGGAAGCACAAATGTCTGCAGCATTTCCAAGCACGACGATGCTAGGAAAAGAGAAGAGTTTATTACTTCAAAACAAAAACCTACCGGTCACATACCCGGAAAAGAAATATGGGACCTAGATTTTTTGGCTTGTTAATCTAGTCCAATCCATCAGTTTCATACTGTGGTGCATACGCGTTGCGGTGTACTTTTGTGAGTTGCTGGTAGTCCAAGAGTAATGTCACATTCTTTCCTGCAGATACAAAACAGTGCTTTATCTGTAAATATGACAGAACGAATAGCCCTGTGATCCAGAAACCAGTGGTAAAATTCCTGCCGCTTCTCCGGATCGCAGAGGTTCAAAAGCTGCAATTGAAGTGCACGGAATCTTCGAAATTTTCGTTCGTGTAATAGCAGGTGTACCGCATGTCGGGTCGTGTCATAGTGCTGTACGATCCGACGAGTGCTGACACCAGGGCATTTTGACACTTTGCTGACTTCAGCGCAAGCTGAACAGTCGTCCGTGGTGATGCGAGGCGGTCCGGTTCTTCTCATGTCAAACTCCCAGTTTGCTCGAACTTCTGCACTAGTTTAAGTAAGTACCGGGCGGTGACGGGACACGTTTCTGTGTTCATTGCATTGCATCTTCGTGAAGTTGATGCGGCGTTTAAACCGCATGCTCCGTACAGCCGAATAATCAGCGCGTGCTGAGTAATAGGCACGTTACGTGATCCCGGTAGCATTGTCTGCTCGTGCTCCATTGCCTGTGGCAGTGATTCAATGACACTGACACGACTTGCAATGCCTAACCTCGTCCTCAGCTGAGATGTCATCACGTGCGCACATTCAAGCCGCAGTCTTGGTTGCGGGATTTATCTTACCTACGCCGACTTCGCTGCGTAGCCAGCGAGACACACGGATAACCATGAATCGCTTCAACGCCTATGGTTAGCCATGACCTTCAGCACACAGCGCAAATGTAGCTGACAGCTAACGACCGCCGGAAACACGTTGTAGCTGTCTGTACTCAGCCCGCTCGATGACCAAAACAGGCTCATATGGCCTGTCGGTGCGTCCTTCACGAGCTTAGGCTTGCACCTAGCTGAGCCCTGCACCAAATCACTCGTGTGCCGAGAATTCCATACGCTCTCACCATTAAAATGAGAGAAATTCACGTTGCTGCATGCGCAGTAGCATTTTGCGAATTTCTCTAAACCTTGGATGGCTATTGGATGGTGGGGTAACAACCGTAAATGACCGGTGTTCACTATAAGCGAGCTACGGTAGGTACATGAACGCGGTCATCGGCCTTCTGCCTCCAGACTAACTGTATATTTGGCTGAGAACCGACACAAATGCCGTGTTTGAAGTGGTCTGACAGTTGGCCCACCTGTTTACAATACGTCCGATGCTAAGTGTTATCAATAGGCTAACTGTTGCCTTACAGAATTTACACGTCCAACAGCCCTGCGTAATTTCGTTCTTTGTTCTTGCCACTGGTCTTCAACTCTCAGACTTTCATCTGCTACGACAACAATGCCCGTTGGACACAACAAAGGCGAAATTGGGCTTCTCACAACGAATCGACTTCGTGCCGGTGAGTTTGCATGGGTAGAGGAAGAAGACTGAGCTGAAACCTGAAGGTTCTTCGGGCTAGTTTGTTGGGCCAAACACACGGAGGTGTTCTCAACAGAATGATGAAGCCTACACGTCGGCTCTACCTGACTGTATCTTGTTTCGGCAATTTTCACATAAAGTTCTTACGAAATCGTGTGAGATCTCACGAAGACGATGAAAATGCTCAACTGATAATCCAACACATGAAATGTGGGAGTTGACTTGGCACAAAACATACGTGAGGGCAGTTGCACGGTATCTGACTACCTTGGAACAAGTACCACAGGGTGACTGCTTCGGCATTGTGAATAGTATGAAAACAAGATGGCAGCCAATTGTCGGAGAAAATGGAGATAGCAAGTTCGCCGAAACCAAACGATGAAAACACAAGTATTTGTGGTCGGAAATTTCAGAATCAGAAATGAAACTGAATTGTATCTAAAGTTCCACGAAACACTTCCAATAAACGAAAAAATCCAACACAGCGGTTTTTGTAGAAAGTAGAAGTCAAGATTAAACTTTGGCGTAATAATCTGCCTCGACGGGAACACGAACCCCGGACGTACGGATTACCGGTCCGTGGCTTCTACTTTCCATAAAAATTACAATACTCACAAAACCACTAATAATACAAATGGATTTTGTCAACGCAGCTGAAATAACCGACCGGAGGCCGCTATCCGCAGTTCAATATAGGGTGGCCGGAAATTACCTCTTGTAAAAAGACTCTGAACTGCATGCTATTGGTCACAGCATGGAGTATTCATGTACTTCAGCTGCTCCGTCGTTAGTTACCGTATATTAGCGAATGTAAGCCGACAATTTTTGGACAATTTTTCATTCCTGTAAAAATGCTATACGTAATTTGAAATAAGTCACTTGCAAAATCTACCCAGGAATTCACTGCATACCTCGGTACCTATCTCCCCTTAGCACCACCCGCTAGTGACGGACGATACTAAAGATGGAAATTCGAAATGCCGCATTTTTGTACGGTGGATACACAACACTGCGGGCTGCGTATCGCTTCTGTTGAGGCATGTTTACGGCCTTGGAAGGTCGCACGAAATGGAGGCATATTTCCTCTCAGTTGGATCATGTGATGTCGCGTTAGTGGTAGTTTGGGTAGAGAATCACGGACACGACAACGGACCGATAGCAGAGGTTTCGCTTGAACACACTCAAGTGAGGGCAGGTAGTGGTAGCGTCAAAACCGTATGGAAACGATTTCGTCTTTCTTTCGCCGATTGTTTTGGGGTTCGGCTAATATAGGGACTTACGACTTTGGACAAATTTAATGTCGCTTAATCATACTGTCGGCCTATCCATGGAGGGGACGATATTCGGTAACATGCGGTACGTTAAGGGGGGAAATAACATCAAGGAACAAATTGGGATTGGTGGTGGTGACTGTGCATTTGGATAAACGTGACCGACACGATGCGGGTAGTCTCGGTGTCATTCAATGAACACAGACTCGAACTGACCATACTAGTAAGAGTCGGAGTGCTGGCTCGGTCTGGAGTGAACGAGGTGCAGTTTGGTCAGAGACAAAAGCGAAGCGGATTGGCTCACACAGCAGCTAGTGAACCGTGCGCACCCGTCTACGAGCACATAGTGACGGCACGACATACAGCTGCTGCAGACCCACGGAGAAGAAAAGGAATCAAATGCCGTCCAGGTGAGTTGGTCGAAGTCACGCGGGCCACATGGGCAGTGGAGAATTGGTGTGATCAAGCAGTAGCCAAGTTCAATTTGGCCGTAGACAGGACAGCAGTGGATTGGGTCACGAAGATGAACATGGTGTGCCAGCCAACGAGCATCGACGGACGGCACAAGAAGCATAAATGAAAAAGGACCAGTGAGAAACCATCGAAATCGAGGAGCGTCACAAATTTTGGTAGCGCTTAAATTACACAAACCAACAATGAATTTGCCATTGAATTTAAATTGTCCCGATCTGTAACAAGTTAATGAACTGATGACGAATGTGACAACGGAAAAAGGTTTATTGACTCTCGTTTTTATGACATTTTGTACAGTTCATTTTCTATGGTTCACTGTATAGATTTATCCGGTAGGGTTGTAAATCGGTATGGACTGATGTAATATTGCAACACAAGATTGTATTGCATAATTTGCTTATGCATTGCAGTATCCCTTGCCAGCTGCTGTTGAAGTACGCTGACGTCAGGGAGCAATGTGCAAAAGTTAGTCTTTTAAAGATCGTGGGATACCGTTTGTGCTACTGTTACGTAAAATCTCAATGATTCCTTTATATCTGCAATCGCAAGACAAAATTGCGTTAATACCATGGACTAGTTCCCCTATATACGTGAGGAAGTGACATTTGCTAGCCAGAAGGAAAGTGCCATCAGTTAAGTGAAGTGGGAGTAGTATTTTTAGTTCATGTGCAAAACTGACGACCAGGACAAGCTTATGCTGTGCTAGAAATGTACAACCCAACTTTCACAATGATTGAATGCTAAAAGACCAATGCTGTTGTTTGCAGTTCTCATGGTGTGGGAAGATCCAAGCAGTAACACAAAGGACTGTTACTTCCGGCTGGCTCCTCTCCTTTCCAGTGGGAAAAGAGGAAGCAAAAGAGGTCGAGTACAATGCATCCCAACATTTTGTCTACACTGAAACCAGTGCAATTTAGTGAGGGACTTCCAATTCCATAGCACACAGCAGAATATGCTCCGGATACAGCTGAGGAGGATAACAGTGAACCGATTTGATTTTCTCCTGGTCCGTTAGCATGCATTTATCCAGATGTTCACTGTGGTGCATCAACAACCCCACACAGAATAGCACAGGAAGAACCAAATGACCATGTTCGTGATCTGGACGCATTCAAGAACAACACAGTATTGCTAAGTTCAAGGTTCCAACAATGAAAGCTTCTAGAAGAATATGTTAAAATTACTTCATGTAAATAACATCATCAGCAGTTGGATCCTTTGTTACGAAATAAAGGCAAGCTGGTTTGAAATAAATGAGAATATCCATAGCTCGGGGGTGTGGATGCGGATTTTGAGCTGTTCTCCGAGCTGAGTGATTATTGTGGAGACGTTTCGTTGCCTGACTAGGCAACATCATCAGTGCGGCTTCATGGTTCGCAGTGCCTCGTAAGCGACTTCAATGTCCAAGTGCTTATTGATCGACTTCAGCTAGGAATGCCAGGCTACAATGAACTCACGTTCTTGTCGGCTTTTAGCCTTTCCGAGGATGCTGGAGTGCTCTAGGTCGAATTGACGGCTCTCGGCATCCATATGCACTGACATCAGGGAGTTCTGAGCGTGGTGACGAATGTCTAGGCTGTGTTCGAGCAGTCTGTTGCCAAGCTTTCTTCCAGGCTGTCCCACGTAGTATTCATAAGACCTGATGCCGGAACTGCGACAAATACTAAGTGGGACAGACTGGGAAAAAGCTTGGCGCAAGGCTACACGAACACAGCCTAGCCATTCATCGCAACGATTAGAACTCCCTGATGTGCATATGGATGCCGAGAACCATCAACGCAACCTAGAGCATGCCACTATCCTCGGAAGGGCTAAAAGCCGGCAAGCACGTGAGTTCATTGAAACCCGGCATTCAAAGCACAACTGGATCAATAAGCACTTGGACATTGAAGTCGCTTACGAGGCACTGCGAACCGGGCCCATGAAGCCGCACTGATGATGTTGCCTAGTCAGGCAACGAAACGTCTGCACAATAATCACTCAGCTCGGAGAACCGCACAAAATTTGCAGGCAACTTGGTGTTCTGTTCCGATGCTGAAGACATCATGAATACCTTGGAAACAACTCATGAGGCGCAGAATGGAGACTGTGTGTGCACTCTTCTAAACGCACATTTAAGGCGGAGCTTTTGCATAATGAGGACAATCTTCCATCCATTCCCGTAGCACATGCTGTTTGCATGAAAAAGGCACGGAAACTTAATGCAGTTGTTGAATTCCAATGGATATACTAAGTACAACTGGCACCTCCGTGGTTATTTTAGAATAGTTACCCTTTCAATGGGAATGCAGCTGTTCTATCTTGTAGGAGTGGGAGAGCCGAGCAAGGATATCGCATTAGTTTTGGCAGGAATGCGCTCGCAGACAAATGTTAATTGTTTGAGAGAAGAATATTCACCCGCAATCTCCTAGGGGAGGCTCACAAAAGCCTGCTACTAATCCTGCACCAAGTTTGATAAAGAAATTCGTGAAAGCCATGGACCGGATTTTACCAGCGTTCCGATTCATGTATGGAAAACACCGTCAATTTAGCGAGGCAGATTAACTATGGAGTATTTGTGGGTGCTCAGTGTCGACAGCTATTCAAATATGACCAATTCAAAAAAGTTGCTGCAGTCATGTGAAACAAGCTTGGAATGCTCTTCGCCTAGTGTCTACCAACGTTCTTGGGATCGTTGGGCACAAACCTATAAGGAACTAGTGGAAGATATGAGAGAGCAGTATCAGAAACCTAGCAGCCGTATCTCCAAAGGTCAAGTTGCTTCCCTGACAATTGCGGTATGGTTAGAGCTGAAAATTGCGAACGTCCTCATCAAAATATCACAACAATGGTATGACGCTATCAGGGAAAATGTTCCACAGTCATGATGACGGACTACTATTGGACACTAGTATAAATGCTTTCGAACAACTGAACAAGAAAAAAGCAAAGAAGTCTAAGTAGTCTGTGTTCGTTTTTACAGGTATCACCTTATCATATGAAGAATATTGCCATGTATTTAGTAAGGTAAACAGGTATTGCGGATTACAAATACTCGAGCCGATTTTGCATTTCAACTGTCATATTTGTGTTCAGCACATAGACATTGATAAGGGTTGACTGATTTTATTTGGTTCATCACAAATAGATTCTAAGGTGCATCGGTTAGGTACTTATCCGGAAAAGCACCATACGATCGTTTCATCCTATTGGGACTCGTCACTGGTGCGAATTCCCTTGGTCACCTGCTGCGGAACGAACCCATTACCGCAGTGGCTTGCACTACTAAACAGTAGCTTATGTTACTGAGCCATGGGGGAGGATAGCCAACCAACACGGAATGAAATCTAACTGCGGTATAGCCCGACCTATCCATCAATACCATACAGGCTTCTGCTAGTGCAGAAGACAGTGGTCGGCCGCCCAGGTTGGTACTTCCCTGACCTGTGCCGTGAATCCACACAGCACTTGAAGACTGATACAGCTTGGTTTTTGATTAATAGTGAGCAGACTGGCTTTATTACAGTAGCATGAATTTGATTTTAAAAAAGTTCATCCATTATTATGCGCTACGTTCCACGAATAACAGATTCCTATCGCTGCCCGGAATCTGCCTTGACTCTCCGAGGTAACTCGACACTGTCAACACATATCTTGGTGTACAACATTCTCGGGAAATGGCTTTACATAAATATGGAGAAAAGTGCAGAGAGCAAGCGTTGGCGAGGATACTAACCTGCAGCATTGAGGACAAGCAACCGGTAGATTCGGACGAGAAAGGGGGCGGGGGGCAGTATTTCCAATTCGAACCGGCAGGTTTCCTGTTCCGTGTATGCTAACGGTCGAAATCGACAAAGCACTGAACGATGTAATGACAGCTGATGCAAATTGTGCCGAGAGATGGGTAAAGCTCGAGCGATCGACTGTTCGTCGACCTCCACATGGGCGTAAACCCATCCGTCATGGGTGATCGAGCTCAGCTGTTTGATTGGAGTAGACCGGACCGAAGCTCCGACAGGGTACCAGATAACGGTGGTCGGGGGAAGGGTGTGCCAGGTCCACGATGCGAAATCAAAGGTGAATGCAAAAATAAGAACCCACGAATGGACAGGAGCAAGGAAGTACACCAGCAGTCCGGTGCGTAGTGTGACCAGATCAAATCGACGTGACGAAGAAGTGCGCGCACTGTGCGGAACACCAGGAGTAGTTCGATCGTCAGGATGAATGGGTAAACGAGGAATCCATTGCACTTTGCCAGTGGACAGGCACCAAACAAAACCGATCAATGAACCGCCGTGTTGGTAAGGATGGTAGATCAGAAAGACAACAGAGCTGTCCGGTACAGCGACTGACGAGTGACAGAGGTAAATATGGATATCGTCATTATAGGCTGGCGGAAAATCGTGTGATAGATAACACAGCAGATGTTCGGTCAAACTGAAAACACGATGTTCACCGGTAAGAAGGTTGAAAGCCCACAATTCCAGGCCTGCGCCATTGCAATTCGGCAGTATAGTCAAAAGACAGGGCGTGGAAGCTCGTGGACAACAGCACGGCTGTATTGCCGCACCTGGAGCGTGATTGACCTTGCACACATCTGATCGCAACACGGAGACGAATTCATCGTAAGTTAACTGGTCTTGCCACTTGAACTCGGGGTAGAAGATGGACCAAAATTGAGCCATATCACTTCGGCCCGACGGAGACAGTAGTCCCAAACGGACACAGTTTAGAAATGATCGGACAATAACCAATTCAGAACTCCGGTCTCCGGATGGGGTGAGTAGTCGGATCCAGTTGAGAGCGATCTCTAACACTTGATCTTCGTCTGATACACAAAGCGTGTCCGAAGTAAGAACCGAAACAACTAGCTCGATAACGGTTGATCCGAGCGAAGCATCCGGTGGACTAGGGAAGGATGTTAAAACGGAAACAGGATTCCTAGCAGTAAAGCGAAATAGGATGTCATTGAGTTTGCGTGTCAGACGTTTCTCAAAAGTCGCCCATAAATAAAGGAACTTCTCGAACACAGGAGACTGGTGCTTCTCACAGGATGTGGCATACGAGTCAAACACGTGGGCCAGAAGTTTCGACAACCGAGCTGCACACATGTCGGTGAGCGAAGAAATCTGCAAATAATCGGCAACGCAGTCTAGTTCGAGCACTTCGCTCAAATTGGAGAGGAAGACATCGCACTGGACTCTATCAGACACCATCGATGATTCGCATTCGTTCTCGGGCCAATGAGTGAAGCCTGATTGGGCGCACTGCACAAACAGAGACAATTGCGATGCGGTGAAATCGGGAAACACAAAGTGTCCAGTGGCAAACTCCAACATTTCGCTTTCAAGCGCAGCAGCAAAATAGACGCTATGCTCAGCTAAAATACTCCGAGGTACCTGAAAAATTAGAGCAGAAAAACAACCTCATAGACTGCAACAAGCTATTGACATTTGAACTAAGAAGGAGAAACGCGCGAGCGGTAAGAACATACCACATGGAATACCGAGGAGTTCGGCAGTAGGCAATAAAATCTACCCGCCTCTCTAATTAGCCCAATTCAAATAATAAAGTTTGTAGATAATAAGAAGTCAGGGTAAGCGAACATATGTTTTCGATAATCCATCTTCAGGCTTACAGAATTATATACAAATCAAAATGTGCAGACAGACATTACAAGTCGTGACTTTTAGAGTGAGTTACTTGGATGCTGACAGCGCTGTCTGTTATGCAATGACAAGCGATCGCGTGTGACCTCGCGGTTCAGAGGTCACCGGCCGTTTGGGCCAGGGTAGTTCTAAGCCTTCAGCTTCTTCTGAACACATAGGCCCGGTTCATACAGCCGGATCGTCATTGATTCAGCGACTTCTAGTAATCGCTTGCGGAGGTAGTTCTTTGTGGCCTGATTCATAACTTTGAAAGATAAACAAAACACGAAGCTTTAAGCAAACAATTGTTTTCGATTAATTCTTTATCCGGCTCATACAGTAATATACATTAGGTTAACGTCTGTTGCAATCGTCAGTGTAACAAAGAAACATTTGATCAGAAAATTTAACTTGTGATCATGATGGTATTCATCTGATCACATGACTGAAGTCAGGTGAATTTGCGGAGTACCATTACTTCCTTCGCGGCTGGTGGTCGGCCAGGGAGGTTGTAGTGTTTGTATTAGTTTCTTCTGAACACATAAGTCCGGATTTGTTAGGCGTATGTATATTGCCTCAGCGGTGGCGAGTATGCTTGCTCTTAGATGATGGTTTGTCTTGATGGTATTTTGTAGATAATTTGAAAGGATGTTCGATTGTCTATCTGGTGGCATGTGTTTATTAGATGGTTTGTAATCGCACTACAGCTTGTTTTATCCTCGCGCTTGTACAGCCAACCTGGGAGGTGTTCCTTAATTCTCTTACCTAAATGCCTGGTCCTCCGTCCGACGTACCTGGCCCCGCACGGGCAGGTGAAGCGGTAGAGTAACATCGATTGGAGATGATCAGGCACTCGGTCTTTGAATCTCGGAACTAGTAAAGGTCTGTTCGTGAAAATCACATTCAACTGAGCCGCAGCTGAGCTGCAGCTTTGCTGTAGTCGACGTGCGCATGTCTCATCCACCAGATAGACAATCGAACATCCTTTCAAATTATCTACAAAATACCATCAAGACAAAACCATCATCTAAGAGCAAGCATAATCGCCACCGCTGAGGCAATATACATACGCCTAACAAATCCGGACTTATGTGTTCAGAAGAAACTAATACAAACACTACAACCTCCCTGGCCGACCACCAGCCGCGAAGGAAGTAATGGTACTCCGCAAATTCACCTGACTTCAGTCATGTGATCAGATGAATACCATCATGATCACAAGTTAAATTTTCTGATCAAATGTTTCTTTGTTACACTGACGATTGCAACAGACGTTAACCTAATGTATATTACTGTATGAGCCGGATGAAGAATTAATCAAAAACAATTGTTCGCTTAAAGCTTCGTGTTTTGTTTATTTTTCGGAACTTGACGTAACAAATGGGCATTCTACTTGAATTTTGAAAGAATAAATGAACTTTGTGGCGTGTCCTGTATCGGTTAGATGTGCGGCTAATGAAGAGTTGACCGTTTTCCGCTTCCAGTTCTAAGCTCGACCGGGTGGTGTTCCTTCATTCTCTCAGGTAGACGTGTTATCGTACGACCAGTGTATTCGCTTCCCAGGAGCAGGAAAATGAGTAGATACACATTGAGTTGGTGAGGACAGGCTTCTTATCCCTTGAATTTAGTCTCACCAACGGAAAGCTAGTGAACTGGGTTTGCATCTACGCTGCTGGATAGGTGCGTCTGAGTGCAAATGAAAGACGATGAGATAGAAGTTCCGTCGCAACCTCGCCCTTATATGGCAGCTGTAGGAAGATTGGTTTACGTTCTGCTGTCAAAACAACAGGCTTTTTCTTCTTATGTTCCATGTTGGCTCTGATGAAGCTTTCCGGATAGCCATTCTCCCTTAGCATTAAGCGAATGCACTCTAATTCTTCCGGAAGCGTGTCGTTCGAGCAGATAAGTTCAGCTCGGTTCACTAGGATATTTAACAAATTCCGTTTAAACCTAAGTGGCATAAAGGTGTGGAAGTTTGTGTACTGCCCATTCCACGTAGTTTTCCTATAGACATAACACTGCAGCGCACTCCTATCAAGTCGATCCATGGCGACATCAAGGAAATGAAAGCGGCTGTTTTCCTCAACTTCGCAAGTGAACTGTATTGCTTGGTGGCCTTGGTGGATAATGCTCACGAACATTTCAGAAGACACAGTTGCAAAGACAATGCTCTTCCACAGATCGCACCAGGCAATTACATCTACGAGGCAGATAAAAAGAACAATACACTGTTGAAATTCAGCACTGAAGTGGAGAAAAACGGTGTGAAATGGCTCAGTAGATTCGAACGGTATTTAAATCTAGCGATTCGGGTGCCGGGAGACTGCAGCTTTGTTGGACGCTGATCTGACCTGACCAGACCAGACGAGCTTATTCCCCCATAGAACAATGACGGGTAAACCGAAGAAAGGAACCACATCCAGTCGTCACCAGTGTGAGTTCTTGTCAGGGTCACGATAGACTTAGAGTTTGTACCAGCAGAGTCTGTCTGGTTGCAACAGTCTGATCGCGATCGCTTCGGCTGTCCTGAGTAGTCGTTTTCTAAGCCTCTGTGAGTGTCGCTTCGGTACGCTGTAAAAGACTTTGAAGGTACCATTGGTCGAGATCTCGTGTCCACTTAGGATTAGATGTTCCAGGATGAACTGTCGATGTTCTTGACGATGCCTCACCGCAATGACCTTGGGCAATGCTCAGCTCTTCTTGTCGACAGACGGCAGGTCGTGTGTCCGAAACACTTAGCACCATAGATATAAGTAAACTAATACACATCGTACGCTTCTGACTTGACCGGTAGTCAGTCTTTAAGGTGTTGAGCAATAAACGGTCTGATCTCCACGTCCAACAAAGCTAGAGTCTCTTGCCACCAGAATCGAGGAATTGAAATACCGAGAATTGAAATACCTGAGCCATTTCACACGGTTTTTATTCACCTCCATACTGACTTTCAACAGTGTATCGTTGTTTCTACCTGATAAATGTAACTACCTGATGCGATTTGCCGAAAAGAGTTAGCTTTGCAACTGTGTCTTCTGAAATAGTAATGTTTTAAACGTGTGGTACCCACTTGCAACACGGTACTTCATGACGGGTTTCATACTCATTGTGAATCCCCGACAGGTAAGGAGCTAGAAAGCGGTACTGCAAGTGGAACCCGGGAGGCAACGACTAAAAACCGATGTTTTTACCCCCAAAGTCACATGAGGTGTTGAAATATAGGTCCATAAGTTTTGTTCGCATGGTGCATCCCGGTTGCTCAGGCCGAGGAAGTGGGTTGATTTAGGGGATCCCACTGAGAACCCTTGGATCATAAAGACCAGACCCGCAAGACATCGGGGCGACTGATGTATATCGCGAAGCGTTGGGAACCGGTTACCAGGGTGAGGATAAAACGGCTTTTGAGTAGGAGCGAACTACTCATGACGTAAGAGAAGTCTGAGTAAAGCAACACTGAAGTTGGGAGAGCTTTCTCTGGCAAACGAACAGGCCGGCGAGAATGAAAACTGTTGACAGACAGGCGGCTGATGCGCCTTCATAGAAGCTGGTAGCCATCGAAGCTGTTTATCCGCTCTCCGTGAGGTACTCACTTCTGGTCACAGAAGCCACCGATTGGCGGTGGGCAAAGTCTTGGCACAACGACTTACGACTGAGGGTCATGATGAAACATTCGGTGTGTGCGTTTGACGTTGCATGAGACTCCAACTTCGGTAATGTAGAAAGGCATCAGCAGTACACCAGTAAGCAGTACCGAGGCTTCGCCGGCCACAAGTCGCTGGTGGGCTAAAGATACTGCGGAGGTCGCCCGATCTTCTACGCGAGATCGAACTCGCGTCCTTGGAGTACAAGGCAGGCTTGTGATCCTTTCGGCCACGGGTCGCTCAGCACCGGTATTGTGCTCTTGTGTGGGCACTCTAAATAGAGAGGTTTGTTGGCAGCACAACCCTAGGCTTTGTGTGCGTTGTGCCAGCTTCGAAAATTCAGTACACCCATTTCAGTGATGGGGATAACAAGAATGAAAGTGGACAGTATTCAGTGCATCGTAAAACTGCGCTACCTAATTGGTACCATAGATTACTGAAGTAAAACGACGAAAGAATAAAATGTTGTTAGCAACAAATAGCTGTATGAGCCAGTAAGCATGAGTTTGATGCAGCCAATGGATGGTCAGATCAGGAAAAATAGTGATTCTCCTCCGGGAATGATGTCACCAAACTTCTATTTAGAACAGATGATAAGAAATGAAGATGATGAAATCAAGTCTGTGTGCTTCAGTTTACGGATTCCTTAACAGTTCACTCCTTGCCGAAAATAAGATACGTTAGATTGGGGTCAACCTGGACGTTAGAAAAGATGAACACCTCCTCTAGCGGAGGTTCTTAACTCCTAAGTGTCCAGAAATCCGTTAACGGCAAATCCGTTGGTGATGGGAGTCCTGACCCTTTTTAAGCATCGTGGCCTCAGCTGACTGGAACAGTGCGCACCCGAGTGCATGTCACATAGCACCCCGCAAAACACGCCTGGAACTTAGGCGATTCGATGTCTCTGGGGAGGAACGACAAGTACTGGATTTCCAAGATCAAAAGTCATAATCCGCGCCCCATACCGCCAAACGTATTGGCTTACTAGGACCAAAAGCGCCTTCGCAGCATAGCTCACATCTGATGGGAACACCAAGTGAACAATGGGCGTGTTCGTCGCCGCATATGGGGTGCAAGAACAGTGAGTGAAGCGCCCAACGCTGTTGTCATGCACCAAGCCTCAATGGCTGGACCATGTGTTGGGCACGTCAGCACACCGACTCCCAAGAGGTACAGTTTGTGCGACCGGGATGTGGATGGAAGATGAGGAGAGGAGGCCGATGCCGCCTTATCTTTGCACGATAGCCAGATGTTTGTGACGGTATGTTGTCTACACAAGGTGTCGGCACCTTGACCCTGAATGTTTGCTTAGGGCATTAAGGTTTTCAGGTAAGTCCCCCTTCTCTCCCTCTTCTTATTCTCTATTTCATAGGTCCTCATGGTTGTATGGCAGCGAAGCATCAGTTCAAATAGCTGATGTACTGCTGTTGATGATTATGAGAGGAGGCCAAGCAATGACTTGGTCCAGAGGAACGGTTAGTGTGTCACGACTGCCTGACTGGGGTCCCAATGACAATAAACACCTGGTCGGATACACTAATTGACAAAGTAATGGTGTTTGTGTCGTGAGTTCCTTTGTCCCTCCCCTTCTTACATAGCTTATCCTCTAACCACGATCTCACATCCGATGGGTAATATGATGCAAATCACTATATTACCTTTTTGGTCTATGCATTGTATTCTGCAATGTTTGGTATCTCAATTGTTTCAAATATTTCCTACTTTTGTATTGCGACACATTAGCTGAAGTGTTTCCCCCCCAAACAGCTAACGTGCAATAACAATGATGATGAGTTAAGAGCAACAAATTCGTCGACGTCGAAAGCATTAAAACACACCTATCGGTTAAGTAGTTGTTTGGACTATTCAAATGTATGAGGCCGAAGATGATAAGTGGATTCAGATATCCTAACAGACATCTTACTATAAAACCGAATTCCATTGGCGACGCCAGTAACAGTGAAAATTAATGTTGGATGTCTGGAGTGTTCTGGAAGCAATACTATGCTCCAATTTTGACCGCAGTATAATCCAAATAAACCTCAACTATCTCGAATCACTACCATCATTCTACGCGGTAGTTGAAGTTGAGAAACACCTCGGCTATTGTGCTGCAATTAAACGAATCACATGACCAATGATAACGATTCCCCGAAAAATAGCACACAATTTAGCAACACTTTCGTTGGACGTATGACGGTGCCAGTCAATCATTACTGGAAAGGAGGGAAAACACAGTAACTCACGGTGAAACTGCAGTTCTCGGCACTGAGCACAATCGTATCCTCGCCCATCTCCGTAAGCAAACTGCCGATAAATCGTAGTGAATATTTAGTCTGGAAATGAAAATATGGAAATATTGGACCTTTTAATACCGCAGTGTACAAGCATACGAAAAAAAGCAAAAGTAGAAAGAGAAAGTTGGGGTGCCTATATCAGCTGAAGGAAAATTGCAGACAACCGTTACGGAAAAGCACAGAAACTGCAGGCGATGCGTCAATAATAGGTTTCAAGTGAACAGTTGCAATGCTGGGCAACAGAAAGGGGGCAGAGTGGAAGAAAAATCGGTGCACTAAACAACAGTGCTGTGGTCAGGTCGATCACGCGAATGTATACTTAATTGTATAGAATTGCGAAAACGAAGCGGACGACCTCATCTTTGGCAGACCCCGTCGAATCACCATCGCGACGTATATATTTATTCACAAGTCTGTAAACAGAAAAACGTGTCATCCGAACCATGGTGGTAGGGAAAGAAGAATATAATGTTCAACGAGGAGAGTAAAACGGTAAAAAATAGGCTATTTTAGGTTCACATACACCGTTGTTTGTGTTTTGTCCAAAATTAAAAATCACATGATGAAGAGATGGTATAACAGCATTGACTCCTATTGCAGGCCATAGCCTCCAAGGCTTCTAACATTTGGGAATCTGCGTCATGTGGTCCCCAGCCTGGGAGATGTACGAATCCAACTGACGCTAGACACGAAGTCAGAATCTTCATGTGCCTTTTGCAGATCATCGGTTGCCCCACGCGGCTCTATTTCCATTCGAGTCCAGGAAGTGTAAATAATGCGAAAAGTGGAAAACGGTGGGCCGGCGTGCGAAGTAAGTCACCGAGACAACGCAAGCGGTGATGGATGATTATATGCTCTGGAGAAAAAGAATGTCCGCTCGCATGACTCTACTTCTAACTTTCGCGTTGCTCACATGGCGCCGTCACCATACGCCAGCAATCGAACGCAAGCAGCCGTTGTTGAAAGTAAACAGTCGTCTCAAATCTTCCGATCGAACAGGCCAGGTCCCGCAACCGTACAGTAGAATAGCGCGGATTGTGGCATTGTACACTCGGGCTTTGAGCTTGAGACTGACATCGCGATGACGCCACAAGTGTCTCAGGTTAGTAAATGTAAGGTGAGCTTTGGCGATTCGCTGTGAAATTTCATCGCCAATACCGCCAGCAACCGTAGTGCAACTCCCGAAGTAAGTAAAGCTGTTAACGAGCTCCAGACTGACACTCGAAAAGGTGAGCATAAGCACAGGAGCCTGCCAATCCTACAGCAAAGTTCTACACTTGGATGGGACAAAATACAGACCATACTCAGATGCCTCTATCGCTAAGCGGTTCAGAATATTTTGAACAGCCTGCGAGTCATCCCTCAGCAAAGCGATGTCATCAACAGAGTACAGGTCCACGACTCTGCAACCAAGTAGAAGCGCAACGACGCAGCTCTGTGTGCACGATGTAGAAAATCTGCGATAGCCAAGTTGAACAGAAACGACGAGACGACATTAACTTGCTGCAATAGTTTGCGTGCTGCAACGGTTCATTGAGCAATGGGTTCCTTCAGAGCCACTCATACCAGATTGGTAAGTGGTTAGAGGTCAGACCAACTCAGTCCACTAGCCCACCAGATTAGAGGTTGGAATGAATGCGCCTCCTCACCCCACAAAACGGGCTCTCTGTAGCTCATTGCCAAAGTCTTGCCGCCGTGTGGTCTGTTTTTTTTAACCAAAGGCTTGGGTTGAAAACTCTGATCGTTCTCTTGTCTAGACCAGATAGTATCCTACGTACGAAATACAAGGAATTCCTCTACTAAAGATCTCTTGATGCGCTGGTCATCGCAGAAGATAATGCACGGCGACTTATTTGCTGTATCGATCAGGGTGGATAGGGAAGAGGATGCTACTGTTCAGACCTTCCCGACCTCTTACACCCCTATTCACCCCCTTCTAATTTCACCTTTATGCCTCCCTTGCTAACCCCCAAATTCTCAGCCTCCTACCTTGCTTCAATGGCAGCTTGTCTTCTAGTTTGAACTCACACGTAATAGCAGGAAGTCCCTCCCATCCAGTCGACAGGTCCATGCTCAACCAAGCAGGCAAGGTAGGTCTATCAGTTTCCATTTGAAGTCCTCAATCCTCGTTAGGACTAGCATGTATCAACATGCGCACTTTATTGTAGAATGGCCAACACGCAGCACTTGCCTGAACACTAGTGATCCTATCGATTGATATCAGCTGTTTAACGGAAACGCGCCTGCAAGATTTGGGCTCTGCACTCACCATACTATACCTCACAAGCGACACTAGCGGCACTTTCTCAATGTGTCTATCTGGAGATAGCGCAGCTACAAATAACGGTCAACCCAGTGTGGGCATCGCTCTTAGTCCCTGGGATGAAACTGCCCTGGTTGATTGGATTCCTGTCAGTAGCGGGATGTACGTCGTCGGCTAGTTCAAAGCGTCGAAGTCACGCAAGGCTAACAGGTGTCCATTTGTCATTAGTATCTACACCCACAAAACTGCAACGCTGTCTGGGTGAAAGATGACTTCTATCACCAACCGAACCAGCTCCTTCGTCAGAGTAGCATATACTGTAATGCTGCCTCATGATCTGAACGCTCAAACTGGAAAACCGTCCACTGATGGCATCAGCAGTACGCCGGCACGATGCTTCGTTGCCGCGTAACTACCACCGGTCGAACGCGGGCTAAGGATACTACGAAAGTCGTCCTGCTCTTATGCAGGCCAGAACCCGCGTCCTCAGATTACAAGACAAGCTCGTTACCTTTAGATTACGGACCGGCTGCCCACTGATGAGCTGCATCTGGGTGGCTACCACGATGCAGGCTTCCGTAAAGATAACGATGAGCAGCTGCTAGACCTATGCTCGTCTATTTCTGGAGAGAACTAACTTATGACAAAGCACCCAGCAGCGTCGGACGAACTATGGACGCAGATCGACCAAAACATCGCGATCAGTTACTGATCAAGGTGCCGTGTCCAAAAATCCAAATCGAGTTGGGGCAGAAGTGTGGAGTCTGACCATGTACTTACATGCGTTGATACGGGTGCGGACGCCCGAGACGACGATGTAAGCGCATAGACATCCGCGAACTGACGAAGCCAAATGCTCTGAATGCGTATCAATGTACGCTGGCGTCCGGGCTAAGTAAGTGCTCAAGGAACACAATCGGTCACTGGTAACTTGTTTGCAAGAACTTATTAGCAACCGGAGTGTCTTCATGTGGTAAATCTGACTGCAACCTGGACATTAAGTCTCGATGAAGTCAATGGAACATCTGTATGGTCGTCGACACATACCGGATGGAAGCGAACACAAACGGACTTGTAAAGACCTTATAGCGAAACTCCGTGCTAGCCTGAAGATGGACAGTATAGCCGGGTAGTCTCATGGTGTGTCGGAGATGGAAACAGCCGCTGTCTTTGGTAACAATAGGAATTTATTCCGTCTGCTAAGGAGAAACGGTGAGTGAGAGCGACGAGATTAAACAGCCCATCCACAACTCAATGGCATGAGCACTTGTAAAAGCAATTTAATTGGTTGAAAGACAAGATGTGCTACCGATCAATGATCGCCATGCTCTGAGGCCATCGTTTTATATCGATCCTCGAGAGTTGAAGTCGAATGTGAAATCGAACTGCTGAAGTTGATTAAGGCCACTTGTTAGGTGATAATATTAAAGTGGTCTCCAGACTGTGGGACCTGCTACCCATCTCCAAAGAAGGCTCACGTTCGAAATGCGTCGATCGTCTAGGAATCAGTCTGATCTCCGTCACACCTGTTACTTGCTTCTATCGTCCTCCACAGATTGGCTCCAGCAAAAGCAAGGCTCTTGAAAAGAAAAGTGAGTTTCGTAAAAATCCAGGTTGAATTGATCACGTATTCACTTAACATCAAATGTCGGAGCACATCCACATGTACTGGCGAACCATCGTAGTCGTTTTTCTCGACATCAAAAGTACCTTTGAGTCGGTAGATCGATGTTCCCTTCTGGACTGTGTGATGAGAAGATGCGCCAGACAAAGACGTAAACAACAGCAGAGCGTTTTATGTGTGATTCCGGCAGAGTATGTGCTAATGGTATACTGCCGCCGCCTATTAACATCCCAAGCGATGAGACAATAATGTCCGCTGCCACATTTCACTTTAGCTTCGAAATCATCGAAATTATGTAAACTGCGTGCACTAGATACGAATTGGTTGTGGGGCTGCATCCAGATGAGCGACTTCTTCACTTAAAGTGTGTTAAGGATATTGTCCTTATTTGTGACCGCTCAGATACGCGCCAAACAGTACTAGCCATCAGACGTTCCGGAGTTTGCTTTGCACCCTCCACATGCAAATCTTTTCTCAAAGATGGGTAAGAAACGCGCCATCTGCTAGCCAAAGGTAAGGATCGGCTAGAAATCGTTCGGAAATTCAATTAGATTGGAAGCTGTATCAAGGCCTGAGATAAAACATGAGAATTGCGAACCGTGTGACAAAAGCAGGAGGCGCCTTTGCCAATCTTGGTCATGTGACATCTGCGCGACAACACTGTCGCCCTGAAAAGTAAGGTCAACTATGAAAACTTTCGTTCAACTCTGCTGTACAGTTGGGAAACGTGGCCCATCATATCGACAAATATAAAGTGGTTATTTACGCTCGACCACCGGCGTTTTCGCAGCTTGGCCCACATCTGGTCAAAAGGTCGCGTGAGCAATAAGCAAGTTAGCAGCGGGAAAAACTAGTTAACCGCTCAGCACCATTTTTCCATGTGCCACGCATTGCACATGACAGCACACCGACTCCAGAGACGTGCGTTGTTTGCGCGACCGCAGACTGGACTGACAAAAAGGAGGGGAAACCATTCGATGACATGGTTATGACGAACGAAGGCCATTGCAATTTAATGATCTTAAATTTAAACTTCACACCAGCTGCGGCATTCTAACATTCTTCGGATTTTTAGGAAAATTATAACAGACTTTAACATGCCAACTAAAGCGCGACGAGGATGACCGACTTCCAGGCAAACACTTCAGTTGCGTTTATCAGCTCAACATTATCAGCACACGTCAGCTAAAGGTGAGAAACACTTGAACAGTGTTCTATACGCCGATTATATATATATATATATATATATATATATATATATATATATATATATATATATATATAGGTAATATGCCTTCAGAACCATAACGAAAGAAAGAGGAAACAACATACAACATGAAGAAAACGGCTTTTTCGGTTTTACACACGCCGCTTTGGGATTTTTTGTGTGCTTTCGTTTTATAAATAAATAAATAAATATTTTATTCTCGACGAAGCGAGACACGCCTTTTGGGCATGATCATCATATTGCATTATTGTACATGATAACAGAATAAGCAGCACCAACATTGGGAGTAGTACAGTTGGAGACAGTAGTGTGGGCCCATAGAGCCCAAAGGTTGTATGTAGTCTATGTACACAGAATGCGAGAGGTAAAGATAGTATTCAGATCACTTATATGGTATGTTGGTGAGGAACTAGTTCGATGAGGTCCCGTAAGTAATGTAGGTCAGTGAGTGAAGTATGAGGAAACGGATGAAAAATACTTAAGAATAGTGGCATGTCACTAATCAGATATGTAGGCGTGTTCGTGCGAGAGCTGATATATGCACAGAACTTGTAAATGTGGTGTCGGTCAACTTGCCAATGTGTTAGGGGCGGTGACTTTATTGAGTGGCGAGTCACATCCGCCACGTCGCAGTGATGTTAAACAGACATTTGTGGCTTTTTGTAGGGAGAACGCTTGCCAGACGAAGACCCACCACGTCCTGGAACACTGCCGGCTGGTGATATAACATTGGCAAGATTGTATCTGACCGATTACCCCCGCGGATATTCGCAGTCACGTAACGCCACTTTGTTTCCTATGGATGTGTAGTCGCCTTCGGAGTCCAGTGCAAGTGGTTGGAGCTGTTGAAGTCGGACGACTCAGGTGACTTGTATTGAATTGATCAGTTTCCTAGGTTCTTTAGTGTATCATGATTATGAAGTGCAGGTTTTTTCTTTGTTCTTAATTGAATCCGTGCCCATGGGAGCGTCGCAGGTACGTCTTCAGCGGTGTTCCGTGCAGGTAATGTTATCATGCACTATGTGACATGAGATGTTAACTAATAGATAACACTGAAAGATAAGACCGCAGGAGCGAAGATGGGAGACTTCGGGACTGACAGCTCTCTGTTGGGCAGTGTGGATGAATTGGCAGATGTCACTGGGACAGGTTCATCGGTGGAGGTTGGGTTGATCGCCGTAGAAGAAGCAGGTAAAAAGGGGTGTGAATGGTACAAGATAAGGGTAGGTAAAATGGTGGCGTGTTTGTGAAGTTGGCAGAGTAGCATGAGTGAATAGCGTCGTAACAGCAAGAGAGCATGTGAATGGTTGTAGTCCATGGTTTGTCAGTAGGCGAGATACTACCCGGTTGCCTAGGCCGAGGTAGGTAGGTTGTCTTAGGAGACCACAGGCCCGAGCCTTTAGTCAAACAGCCAAACCCACAAGGCAGTAGGATGAGATGAGGGATTCGCACCCGTTGGGAGCCGATTCATACGCCTTTCGGATGATGATAAGTCATGCCAGGGGCCCAACACTCCCGAAGTCAGAGACAAGGTTCGATGCTCTGATTGCCTGCCGGTGTATAGTCTCCAAAGGAGACTTTATGTAGTGGCGATTCACATCCGCTACGTCAGTGTTTTTAGACGGACATTTGTGGCTTTCCATAGGGAGAACGCTTGCCAGACGAAAACCTATTACGTCCTGGAACACTGCCAGAGAACCATTTGCCGGAACGGGAAATACCCGAAACGCCCAGCTGGCACCACGAGGTTGTTCGGCGAGACAGCGTCTATGCGCCGAAGTGCGGTAGGTACAGTTGCCTTAGCACATCAGAGTAATACAGTAATAATAAGAATAATAAGAATAAGAATAACCATTAATTGAAATAGATGCAAAAGAACATAAATCACTAGATGGTACAGTTAAGAGTGTGAAGTGAGAGAGTGAGTGTAATGGCGTCATTGACCCTGCGATCCCACCATGTTCCATAAGGTGTCCAACAACTGATGCGACCGCTTCTGATGACCTCATTAGGGAATACGACATCTACCAACCCGAGCCGGAGTTTCGGTAGGTTTCTTCATGCCATTTTTCCCCACTTCAGTGGCCGGCTACCATGAGGTCTCAACCAACTC